TCAAGCAAATGAACAAGCTTTTGTTGGTAGGGATGCAACTACCAGAACAACAATGAGGAAAATTTCGACGTTTCTAAGGTCCTTCGTCTGGAGTTACTGGAGGGAGGGGGTTCGAGAAAATTACATGAACTTTTATACTAAGAATATAAAAGCATCACGTGACAAAAAATAAACCAATAAGATGAATTTAGTCAAAACAAAGAAAATAAAATGTAAATCACATTACAGAACATACAGAAAACTACAACAAATACAAGAAAATGTATGAAACAATGTTAAAATAACCAGACTATGTGGAAATATAACCAGAACCGGCCCTTGTCATTTATCCTCCTAGCATAGTCTGGTTAATTTCCCATGACGCCTTGGTCATATTAACCAGATTTTTGTAGGAAAAACGTGAAAATATAAACCAAGAAATTTTCACTAGGAATATCAAGTTAACCTAATAAACAGGGTTATTTCTTCAGTCTTGGGCAATTTATAAAATGTATCAAAAATAAGTTTAGGGAGAAACAAACACCACACAAGAAGAAAGCTCCCCCAAAATATATCATCATAAGTTCTAAATAAACGATTATCTGATGATCACACCTCAGTACTAATTAGACCTGTGGTATAGTTTGCTTGTGAAATTTAAATAAAGTCATTCTTGTTAATTTTGAAATTGGGTATTTTTATATTCAATGGAGGCCAAGTCATTCTGCATGAATGACCCCATTCTTTACACAGCATTAAGCAAATAGGTCCAATTAGTGCAAGGTTTGGATATCAGGTAATCATTTATTTAGAACTTACGATGATATATTTAGGGGGAACTTTCTTTTTGTGCGGTATTTAGTTCAAACGTTAAAACTCGTTTTACAAGCTCTTAGCCAGGATTGTAGGTTAAACAGGAACATTTTAACTAGGGTGTTTTTAGAGTGTGTGTCTCTATCTTCCTGTCGGCAGTATCTCTTCACCATCTCTTTGTATTACATGTCCATATCACCATACCTTTTTATTCCTCCCCAAAATCTTCTTTAGCGAAACACGATTGATCTTAACATGGGCATCTTTGCCCTTTCCATCAAGTTTCTTTTATCTCATCTCGTTTTTAAAATATTCCATGCCCTTGTTATCCAATCTAAAACATGCTGAATAATGTGTATATTTTATTGCTTAGTTTTCCTTTTGCAGTTTATGCAAAGAATATTGACAAATAAAATCAAAGAATTAAGAGTTGTAAGTGTAGTTACAATTTATACAGGGGCGTAGGAAGCATCAAAAGATTGGGGGGAACCGGCTTTCAGGGGCACTTTAGGATATTGAAAAGGGCACCTAAAAAATTATTCCCGGAAATTTTGGCGACGGGGAGGGGGAGAAAGAAAAATTTTCCCGCCATACTATACCCAAATTGCACGTTTTTGATCACTTTTTTTAAAAAAACATGGAAATTTCCAAACAAAAAGGGCAACTTTGATGTTAATTTAGTATTTACAGCGACATTAGCTTGTAGAAAAAGGCAATTTTCATCACAAAGAAGGGCATTTTTAGTCCTTTGAAAAAATGAGGGGGGTCACATGCCCTCGGTGCCCCCGTGTCCCCCCCTCCCCCCCTCCGATCATACGCCCCTGAATTTATATAGTTCTGCCATGCCATATATGCTTCTCATTGATATGTCTAGACTATGAGGAAAAGAAGTAGCCTGCAAATTAGTGCCGGTCATCGGTATAAGAAGACAATTTACTGCGATTTCCAGTTGAGTATGGAATTGCGAAAATTTGTTCGTCAAGTTTTGTCGTTTGAAAACAATGTTTGTGACATCATTCTATGTTGTTGCTAGGCGAGCTGACAATGTTGTCAAGTAAAATACTACCAAGTTCACGACTATAAATAGAAATTTATTTCGTTTTGTAATGATTGACAGTTTTTAACGGTTTTTACTTGACAACATTGTGTGCTCGCCTGGTAACATTATAGAATGACGTCACAAACATTGTTTTCAAACGACAAAAGTTAACGAACAAACTCTACGAACAAACTTTCGTAATTCCATACTCAACTGGAAATCGCAGTATATTTGTAATTAAATCTTACGGCTTAATGCAGCCAATAAATAATGGAAGAATGTCGTTTATATTGCTTCATTAATGAAATTGTGTTCAAAATCAATTTCTGAGATTGGATATTTGACCAACCTACATCGGTCGACCAGATGTCCGATCCGAAAAAAACTTTGATCTGACAAAAGATGAATTTGGCAAGACAATGAACATGGTAGAGATTAAAGTTATTTACTAGAAAATACATGCATGCAGAAACCCTCGCCTTGCTGACAAAACCATTGTATTTTCCGAACATAAAGTATCTAAAGTTGTTGTCATGGTAACACGATAATTTTTTAAGAATATTCTTACAAATGAAAAATCGCCTAAAAATATCACTTTTAATTACAAAATTATCAATTTCCCAACATATATATATGTTAGGTATGTTATTATACGTAATATAAGCTTCAATTTAAGGTACAATTCAACCACAAACGCTTCGCAAAACGTTTTAAATTAAAGTGTTCTATATAAAACTAAATTGCCTTTAATTAAATGGCTTTATCGATAAACTTTGAGTTTGCAATAAAGTGATTTCAAATTCTCGCATGCACATAACTTTGCTTTCTTTTTTATTTGAAAAATTCAATATAATAAAAAAGGGAATCAATATTAATAATACACTGAAATTATATGCTGTGTTGTTTTATAGTTGTTTCATATACGCAAATGGCCAAAGGGCAAAGGCCGTCGGGTTTTCAAGCAATTATAAAATCAATATTTAAAACAAACTTACCTTTGGGACCAGTCATTATTTATGGAAGGGGGAGGGGAATTTTTTCTTTCCTAAATTTTTAAAATTGAAAGCCCCCCCTTAGGGACCGGTCATTATTTATGGAAGGGGGGGAGGGGAATTTTTTCTTTTCTAAATTTTTAAAATTGAAAGCCCCCCCCTAAAAGAACAGAAATTTAATGATGACCCCCCCTGCATATTGGAATATTTTTCTTTGACCCCCCCCATTTTTATTTTTGCTCGTCAAATGGGGATACCCAGGCGTTATAGTGTTAATTATTAAATAAGAATATGGAACTGGCAAGATATTAACGTCGACCAAAAATATATATTAGCAGAAAATTATAATTAAAAGAGGAGTATTTTTATATATAACACTAAAATCAGGTTTCCATTTGGTCTGGGCGATTGTAACCATGTTTAAGGCTGCAACTAGACTTGATGGTACGACGTATTGCCATAGCAGCTGCGCAGCAACAATGAGAGCAACAATCAGTAATATTAGCAGCAAAAGGAGATAGCAATGACAATTCTGCCAAGGCATACCTGTGAAATACAATGTATAGTGGTCTATACATCCTATTTTCTGTGAGATTAAAAATTATATAAAATAAAATGACATATACTAGCTACCAGATAAAATCCTTTAGAATGAACATGGGTGGGTGGGTGGGTGGGTGGGTGGGGAAAAGGTATCGAAGCGCAAAACTTGCTGCAGCTAGGCAAAGCATACAATGGCAGAATGAATACCCAGACCGAAGCACTGATCACAAGGCATGAAACAACCCCCTTTGATCGATATGACGTCACAGACTCCCCTCAGTGGATGTGGCCTGCATAATACATCCGCCGTTAACCTTGCTTAATTTAAATGTATTTAACCACATCAAGAGCTGATGTAATAATACATTGTCAATTTAACTAGTCTGCAAACCGTAAATCTGATTTGCATACAGCACACAAGACAAGATGAATCCAGACTATTTCACATCAGTGACCATGATTTAGTTGCAACATTTACAACCAAATGGATACCAGGTTATTAAGCAAATTCCTTCAAATTTAATTGTAACTCCCCCCCCCCGTCATTTTCTTGAAAAAATTTAATAGCCCCCCCTTCTTGTCATTTATTTCTACATATGGCCCCCCCCCTTATTTTTCCCTCCCCCCCTTCCATAAATAATGACCGGTCCCTTAGTCCAGCCAAATCACTATAAGTACATGGTCCTGATCAAAGTAATCGCAATAGAATTTTTCTCAGTGGTAAAATGTGAGGGAAGGTGTCCTGATTAACATATTACTAAAAATCTCCAAAAATCCCTTCGGTGGAACATGGTGAAAGTCAAGTTTTTCTTACTTCTACCTATAGAAAACCATTGCGGACAAAATGTTGAAATTATTTTTTTGCAAATATAACATGCATCATTGGAAAGCTTAGAAAAAAATAAAATATAGATCATTAAACGATTACCTTGCTTTTGCCTATCCAGCCGAAGTTATACAAGATTTAAAATGCCATAAATTTGTATTTTGTGCAAATTGTGCGCTATTTTTCCAACTTTGAGCTAGAATAACGACAACCTGACCAGTAAATTGAATATAACGGTTTAATTGACCTTAATATAGTTTTGTTTAAGTTTTCCAATAATGTAGGTTACATTTACCTAAAAATGATTTCAAAATTTGAACATTCTGTCCACAATGGTTTTCTATAGGTAGAAGTAAGAAAAACTCGATTTTCACCATGTTCCACCGAAGGAATTTTTTTTTTATTTTTAGTATGTTAATCAGGACACCTTCCCTCACATTTTACCACTGAGAAAAATTATATTGCAATTTCTTTGACCTCTGGTCACAGATTGACTGGACTAACTGGAGAAAAACACCTCTGAACAAGGTACCAGGGAACAAATGACCTCGAAAAGTATCCCGGAGAAAAGAACCCCTGGAAATCATCCCGTACTGCACTAAACTACCAAATCTAGTTAATTCTAGCAGTCTAGAAAAACTAACGCTGGATATACAGGTCTTGAAACTAGTAAAACTGGTTCTACCACTCCAGAAATGATCGCCAGTACTAGTAGTGCGGGCCCATCGGGAATTGAGCAGAAACTGTCAGCTGAAGAACAGCCGCAAGGTCCTCTGGGAAACGCAAGAAAAAAAAGAGCAAGACAATGATGGATAAGACAGGTGATGATAGAGAACTTAGGGATAGATTACCTCAGAGAGTCTGGCATGGAACTTCATATAAAGTTGAGGTATGTTGAGATAATTGCTTGAGATAATGAGTTATATTGTTATTCTAATGAGTTTCACAGCCATCTTCCCTTCGATAGGATCAACCTCGCAAGCCAGGGTCTTTTACCGCCGTGCGGAAGTAAAAGACCCTGGCTTGCGAGGTTGCGATAGGATTTGCTCAGACACGATTGCGTTTCTCAATCCTATTATTTGCCATCAAATATTTGAGTATTATATAAGATTATTTTCTCACTCTGATAACTGCAGGTGGACCAGCATCTGCTTTTACGATAATGTTTAGTGTGAAACCTTCCAGACACAAATGCATGCAGTTTACATTTAAAATCGTGAAAAAATGTTCCGTTAATATAATACTCAATTTTTTCAATAGGAAGTGGGAGGCATTGACTTCAATCCAGAGCTATCAAGACTAGTCAGTCACGCTGGAAGTCTGGGGAGAGTTTCTCCAAACCCAAATACCCGACTCCGCTCTAGAAATGGCAGTAAATCTTCCACTAGTGACGCTATCTCAACTACTGACGTCGTGCCTAGTGATGATGTCACATCAACATCTGACGTCATCAATAATGAGGTCATATCTAATAGTGACGTCATTTCAGCGAATGACGTCATCTCAGGACAACCACGCGAGACAGAAGGATTGAAGGAACCTGAAATGACAATGTTGTGACGTAATATTAGTAAGCTGTATTATCTGTATTATATAAACTTAGTCATACTTCATCAATAAAGATAAATTCATGAAATAATGATGTCTTTTTTTAGCCGTCATAAATACCAGAATTAAAAAGCGCAGATCATAATTTCACGAAGTACACAAAATTTGGAGGTCGTATTTTAAAACGGGTATCACAAAATAAATCGTTCGCCATGAAGACAAAAATTAGTCTGACTTTATTTACAATATAGTTTACATGTCATACTAATTCAAATTAATTAAATGTTCCACTAATTAATTACTAATGTTTCTGTCCAGATCAAAATGTTTCTTTTAACACAACGTATATTAAATGAAGAATATTTACACAATTATTTATTATACAGGGTTATATCTAAAATAAAATTATTGGTATTTCTATCAACATAAGTTTATTTTACACAGACATTAAATGGTTATATAAGCGAATAAATAGTTTATAGAAAACTTTTCAGTTGCGAGGTGTCACTACAGCATTTGCCCAAAGCCTTTTCTCTTTCATTCCTGGCAGTTCTTTCCACTGATTATCTCCCATTGTGAAACTTTCTACTGAGTTAAGATGTCCCTCCTCCCTATTCCATCCTCCCAATACAACAATGACGTCATGCATCATGACAGCTGAGGCACCCCACCTCTTGTGTTTTAGTGAAGGTAATCTTTCACCTCGCCCAGTTTCAATGTGATACATGATGACGTCATTTAAAACCTGGCCGTTCCTATCCGCCCCGCCGACGACAATTATCATATTGCCCCAAGTAACTGTGGACAATCCTAAGACAGGCTTGCGTAACGGTGGACATGGCTTAATCTCGTTCTTGATGAAATCATACATAACAACACTATCAGTAGCATCTTTATTGTGGTGTGTTGTCGTTCCTCCCAAGATAAATAGCTTCCCGCTAACAATCTCGGCTCTGTGGTTTCTTCTTGGCTGAGGCATTCTTGCCAGAAACTTGACAGTATAAGCTGGGGCAAGGGATAGTTCATAAATTGCATCCGATGGGGTGTTTCCTTCCCAGATACATCCACCGATGATGTACAATTTATCCCGGTAAACTGTAACGTTATGGACAGATAACTTGATGGGCAGTTTACCATCAAAAATCGTCCATCGCAAAGGATGCTGGTTCATCTTTAAAATCTCGATCAAGTCAGTACCAGCTTTACCGACGGAACCTCCAGTAACGATGACGTCACCGTTGTAAACACATGATGCTGATTGTGTTCGAAGGTGATTCATCGGTGGCAGCTCAGTCGACGTTCCTTCTGTTATGTTGTATTTTTCAACTGTATTTAATATATTGTTCTGTCGTGGGCCATACCGACCGCCAAAAATAATAATATCTTGATTGTTGACTGGAACTGGTGGGTCTAAAGCGTGAGCACCATTGTTGTTCACATTTCTTCCTTGTAACAGCTGATTTAACATTTGTGTCATCGTTGCAAATCGGTATATTACCTCGGCTTCAAACGCCATTTGATCTGCTTTCATTTCTGCTTGAGTTTGTTTTATCTTGTCAACATTCTCCTGGATTGTAAAATTAAAAATTTCTCTGACTATGTTGTTATATTAAAATATATCAGCGATGACACAGTGTACATTTTGAGAAGCTATGCGCCATAAATAGTTTATTTACTTGGCAAAGTGTTCAATATGTTGGCCGGCTCAGTCCTCAAAAGTTTGCGTTAAATGATGAACACTCATGCTTAGGAAAAAAAGTTTTGCAAATTAAAAAGTTGCGTTTCTATCGCAATGGAAAATTACACAAAACTAAACATAATCTTATCTTACCTTCATTTGATTTACTTTGACATTGATTTCATCTTGCTTTCTTTCCATTCCAACTTGACTAGCTTTCACTTCATTGACATTTTCCTGAATTACAATTGTTTTTATTAATCATTTAAAAAGAGGATATAGCATCTTCACCAAACACGTTGGGTTAGATATCATTGATGGTCCTCAAAATTAAAACTATCGATTATACGGCATTACTGTACATAATTACACCGAGTGATATATTCTAAGGTCGTCAACATCATTCATCTCTATAAGAAAATGTTTTTTCACCGCAATTTTGAAAACGATATATGATTAATGTTTAATTATTTTAAGGTGATTTGATAGTGAGTTAAAAAGTACGGTCCACTTCACGTTGTTTTTCATTTAGTCTTCTCAGTTCTAACTCTTGGAAGATGTATGTCAGTTCTAGTTGCTCTAAATATTTGTCACTTCATTTATCTTTGCGCACGTATCACATATTGAGCAGTGCCGTAATTTTTAGTGCTCGAAAAATAGAGGTTTTTACGGTAGTAGAGTTTTTTCCAGTATGAATATGCAGCTACTCGCATAGTTGCAACAGTTGTACTGATTGTGTTTTACCAGTTATCCCTGGTATTATTCAGGC